CCTGCTTGATCGCCCCTAACTGCCTCTGCCTGCCTGCCGGCCTGATTGTACCTAACTGCCCCCCTGCCGGCCTGATCTCCTCTAACCGCCTCTGCCTTGGCCCCCAGCCTAAGCCGCAGTCTGGCCTCCCTCTGTCGGAGGCGACCAGGCCAACCAGGGGAAGGCGCTGCCATCACCCCGCTGCTGCTGCCACTGGTGGCTACCATGGCTGCCTGAGCCTCGGGTCTCGCAGCCGGATGAGGCTGCCTGAGCCGTGGACTGGCCCTCGCAGCTGCAGCTGCCATCCGCGGCTTGCCTGAGCCTCAGGCAGCTGCTGCGGCTTTGTCCAGAAGGACATCCAGATGGTCGTCCGAAAGACGTCCGCCCTAATTAGCATATTAGTATAGATTACATTATATATAATCCTTAAGTTCTTTGCACAAGTTAGCTGGGGGATCTATATTAACAGATACAAAGCGAGGTAGAACTTAAATACCCAAGTAATCCAGCACTTCCTTTATTCAGCACCGTTACCAAAACTCCACCTTGTCTTAGGGGACAAGAGCAGAAGCCACAGGCTCCATGTGGCACAAGCAGGAAGGGGCTCCCTGCCCAGCAGCACTCACCACACACACACCGGGTTCTCTGCCCAGAGTCCCGAGAGCCCAGCATTGGACCATCTGGAAGGGAAGGAAAACTCCCCCCCAGCCTGATCAGATACAGGTCCACAGAGACTCAGTGTTCTGGGACAGGTGTTTTAGACATGTTTTACCATGACCCACAGTAAGAAATATGTTTTCCACAGTAACCCAGTACACATACACATACATATATGTGTATTGTGTCTGATTCCCTCCGTAAATGTTCATAAAATAATAATTACTCTGACTGCAAGCAATATACTCGAATATTCTCTAGTTCAAGTTTATTCACAATGCTGGTCATAATCACTAAATTTATTTCATGGGCCATGGATTTTGAAAAAATACTTTCTCTATGGGACATTTCACCAAAGGGCGCTTCTCAGCTATTTGGATCACTGCCAAGTCCTCGCATGTGGACATGAATAAACAAAGATGACGTTACTTCAGAGCGGCTGCCAACCTGGGCCACACATATGTATTGACAGGCTGTTTCCATCTTTGTTTTCAGTTTTGGTGGGGTTGGGAGGGGGAGGAAAGGTGAAGTGGGGAGAATGAAAAGGACCAGCAGAAAAGAAAGCTTCCACCGTACCTGGAGTCCAAATTCTTCACTAAGGTTGGTGAACAGATACTCATACCCGTACGCTGCTTTGCAGTTCAGCCACACGACATGGTATGGACTCCGAGTGATCCAGCTCCGAACCAGCTCCAAAATTCCACTCAGACACTCTCCCTGGCAGGATGTTTTATTAAAAGGCATTTAACAATTTTAAGAATATCACTTACCCAGTGAAATAAGCCATTCAGAGAAAAACAAGTGCCACATGATTTCACTTCTATGTGGAATCTAATGAACAAAATAAACTAACAAAGTGGAGACAAACTCATGACAGACAGACAGCTGTCAGAGGAGCAGGGGTTGGGAGCTGCGTGAGAAGAGTGAAGACACTAAGAAAAGAAAAAAAAAGACTCATGAACACAGACAACAGTATGGTTATTGAATGGGGGGAGGTAGAAGAGGGTAAGGGGGGATTAAATGATGATGGAAGGAGACTTGGCTTAGGGTGGTAAACACACAATACAATATATAGATAATGTATTGTAGAACTGTATACCCAAATCATGTACAATTTTATTAACCAATGTTACCCCAATAAATTCAACAACAAATAAACCTGAGATTATGAAAGTATTAAAAAGAAAAGAATATCACATTTATCTTTTCTTTCCATTCCCAACATTCCCAAATATTAATGCCAATGGGAACAATTATGACCTGATTTGTTATCCCACAAACTTTCTACTAGAAATATGCCATGCCCAGGTTCTCACCCCATTTCTCCAGAGAGACTTACTCGACTAGGAATTTGATAAAATTTGGGATCGCAGAAAGTAGTATCTAAGTACACACTTTGGATGTCTTTCACTCTGGGGAAAAAAAAAACTGATGTTAAGCTAATGTGAAATAATCATCTAGAAAGTTTAAACCCTCAGTTATTTTACATGATGTTCTATTCCATTTGGAGTATTTTGTTAAAACAACTTTGCTGAGAAGTGATTTCCATACAATAAAATATACAGATTTTGCACACATGGTTCAGTGAACTTTGACAAATTCACTTATCTACTACACCAATCAACACACAGAATGTTGAAGAAAAATGTTTCAAGAATAAAAATTAGCTTTACTATTACAAATATTACAATCAAGTTTGATTTCTAAGAAAAGCAAAGGCTTGTATTTGGGGCAAACGGGCAATAAAACTTTTCCAGTGGTGCAGCCTTACACAAAGCCCAGTACCTGCCCCCGCAATGCAGAAGCTCCATTCTGGCAGCTTCTCCTTTGGCCAATCTGAAGTCTCCTGTGTACAAGACAGTTCCATTATCACCCTGAAATAAAAACCTGTGAAGAAAATATATATTAGTGATTTCTCAGTCTCATACAAAACCCTAATAAAGCAAATACTAATTCCACAGCAAATGTTTCCTGCCAAACACACCACTATGACCTAGTGTTAATGGAATTTCAATCATCTCTAAACCACACCAGGCACTCAGCTGCCACCTGTTCCATCTGGTAGAAAAAAATGGCACACGAAGATTCCATTGAGTTTGCAATAGATGTCCCCAGAAATATGTCAGCACTCTCAACTATATATTGAGATCATTCCTTTTCATGGAGAGAAAAATCCATGTGATAGGAAAATGTAAAACTAATGGAGAAATAGCTATTGAAGACTTCCATGATAAAGAAACCCACATTTCAAACTTGATATTCACCTCAGCCCCCCAAGTTCAATTTGGAAACAAAGATTAAAGAAAGTGCCATAAAAATAATCAAATCTCCCTATACATATTAGTTGCTAGACCTTAAAAATGTATTTCTATAAATATTAGACAATTCTACATATAATAAAATGGCAAAATAGATGAGTTCCCTTACATAACTGATCCTGGGCAATGACCAGCTGGTAAGAGAGTCACAACAATCTCTTCCTTCTAAAAAGAAAAAGAAAATAAGTTATCATTAGGACCCAGCTAAATAAATCTCTCCTTAATAGAACATATTCAAGTACTTCTCAAGAATGTGCCTTTTCTCCTCATTTCCTCTCTCTCTCCAAACTCTGGAAACAAGTGAAATCCTTGCCACAAAATAGTTAAATGTTGAGTTACAATATGATACAGCAAATGAACACTTGTGTACATACACAAAAGAAATGAACACTTAGGTCCACACAGAAACCTGTACATGAATGTTCATAGCAGCATTATTCATACTAGCCAAAGAGAAGAAACAGTCCACAGGTCTAGCAAATGATGAATGAATAAACAAAATGTGGTCTATCCATACAATGGGATAGTATTTGGCCATAAAAAGAAATGAAATACTCATATATACTACAACATGGATAAACCTTGAAAGCATTAGGTAAAGTGAAAGAAGTCACATTTGTCTGATGCAATTTATATGAAATTTCCAGAATAAGCAAATCTATAGAGACTTCAAGTAAAATAGTGGTTGCCAGGGGCTGAAGGGAGGAAGAATTAGGGAGTAACTGCTAATGGGTACAGGGTTTCTTTTTGAGTGATGAAAATATTCTAAATTGATTATGGTGATGGATATATGTCTATAAATATAGTTAAAACCATTGAAATGTATACCTTAAGTGGGGTGAATTGTAAGGTATGTGAATTACATCTCATAAAGCTGTTATTTGGGAAGGAAGGAAGGAAGGAAGGAAGGAAGGAAGCAAGCAAGCGTGGTGTAGCCTGGTCCCAAGTCACCATACTGCACACCATCCTGTTGGAGCTGAGCCTGATGCGCAATACTGCCTCTCAGTCCTCAGGGCAGAGTGGGAGCGGAGTAGGGGGAATGGTGGGCAGAACTCTGGAGACACCAGCTTCTCCCATAAGACTAACTTCATTCATTCCCAAGGCCCCTTTAAAACAGGGTCTCCTACTGGTTAGAGCTGGAAACACAACACACAAAAGCCACAGAGCACGAAAAGAAACTGCCTGAGTGGACAGAAGATTCTGCTCAACGAGAGCTATCTGCTGCCTAGGGCCCAATTTTAAGAAAGCCTTTCACCAACATATGTCACAAGGCAGCAAGGCAATGAGATTAAGTCTCCAAAACATGTCAGCTAACTGATCTCAGGTTGGCACTGAGAAAGGTTCAGGCCATCCTTTTACCCACCCTAAATTGGCTGTGCAGTCCTCCCTCAGGACGATGCTTTGATGAGGAGTACTTCAAATGCCTGATCCTCTCCAAAGAGGAAATGTGAAAAGTCAGGGCCTGTCTGATCACAGTCTCACAACAAAGGACCCCTCTCAGAGTTCACCATGTCAACAAAGCAGGTTATAATCGGACTGTGGAACAAATATTCACTAGATTTGCCAAATATTAGGAAAATACCTCCTAGCTCTAGATATAATTTGAGGTAAAAACAGCAAATAAGTCCAGCCAGTGTGGCTCAGTGGTTGAGTGTCAACCTATGAACCAGGAGGTCACGGTTTGATTCCCGATCAGGGCACATGCCCCGGTTGCAGGCTCGATCCCCAGTGTGGGGTGTGCAGGAGGCAGCCAATCAATGATTCTCTCTCATCATGGATGTTTCTATCTCTCTCTCCCTCTCCCTTCCTCTCTGAAGTCATTAAAAATATATTTTTTTAAAAAACACCAAATAAAAGGTAGGTCCATAGTCCTGTTTATTATTAAAATAATACACTCAAACACAAAAGCACCTGCTTCTAAATTTAAGGACAAAAAATAAATAGATCAACTTGGACCAGATTTTTTTTCTTGAATAGGAAAATTATTCAGGGGGGTAGGGGAAAGAAAAGAGAAAAAGATAAAGATGAAAAAGAAAATGCAATGATTCAGAAAAAAATCACAATATACATAAATTTGCTGCAAAAATATTAAGCACCATTTTATATCCTGAACATTTATAATAAGCTTATTAAATGTGACAATGACATCCCATAGTAATATCAACAACTGGCATTCCCATCATTAGCATGTAATATTAGAAAGGAGCCGTTCTGACAGAAGTCATATCCAGTCCTTGGGAGGTAAAGAATAAGTATGTTATACATGGTGTACTTTCCCACAGACTCACTCAATTACTATAATTTTTATTTATGGTTAAATGAGCATTCAAAATCAAGGCTAAAGGTAAATAATCATTTTAGCACTAAGTATTAATTTTCAAAAACATGACATTTAAAATTTAGTTACCTCGCCTGATGCTTCATCAACTAAGGATATCTGGGTAGGAGTTTCAATTTCAATTGATATCTATTAAAATAAAATAAGAGGTCATGTATATATCATATTATATATTTCCACAGTTTTTCATTGCTTTATAGGCCTTTGCCATCTCAAACATAGAAAGGGGACTAAGAGAAGAAGTTGTAGGCTCTCTATAACATTCACTAAAATAAATGTTTTAAACGTCTTGAAAACACGATAAAGCTAAAATAATACCTTTCTTGAGGTTAATGTGGTAACATATATTAAGTGCCTTATAAACTCATATCTCCTTTGACAGCAATTGTATTTCCACGAATTCAATCTTCTTCCCTGCACCTCCTCATCCCTTGAACCTGAGTCTTTGTAAAACACAGTTATGTGTTCTATGTGTTTAGGTTTTGTGCTACAGAACACTGTGGATTCATCCCTGATATGTTGGCCGAATTCACATATCTGAGCTGCTACAGAATGCTCCAAGGTGTACTTGCACATTTTACTAGAACAATAGCTGACACGGAAAGGTATTCAATAAATAGATGATGAATGAATGAACATAATTATTCACCTTTTTATGTTTACATATGCAATGGCCTTTTCCCCCCAATGTACTATTATTATCTACTAGAGGCCCATGCACGAAATTCGTGCACTCGGGGGGAGTCCCTCAGCCCGGTCTATGACCTCTCGCAGTCTGGGACCCCTCGGGGGATGTCCGACTGACAGCTTAGTGCTGCTACACTCGGCCCCTGCTCCCTGCGATTGCCGGCTCCGCCCTAATGCCTCTCACCCAGGCATTAGGCCTAGGCAGGGGACCCACAGCTCTCCAAGGGATCTCCTGCTCCACCCCTTCCCAGGCCTAACGCCTGTGGCCAAGGCATTAGGCCTGGGCAGGGGACCCCAACCTCCCACCATCGGCGACTCTGCCCCTGCTCCCCATGATCGCTGGCACCGCCCCTGCCCAGGCCTAACGTCTCTGCCCCCTGGCTCTTAGCTCCCCCCTGGGTTTCTGATCACTGTCAGTGGCAGGGGGCTTCTTCCGTGCTTTCCCTTTCGCCTCCCTGCATTGTGCCTACATATGCAAATTAACCACCATCTTTGTGGGCGGTTAACCGCCATCTTGGCTGGTGATTAATTTGCATATCTCGATAATTAGCCAATGGGAAGGGTAGCAGTCATACGCTAATTACCATGTTTCTCTTTTATTAGATTAGACTAGAGGCCCAGTGCACAAAATTCATGCACTTGTAGGGTAGCTAGTGGCTGCTGTCTGCCTGCCAGGTTTTCCCTCCCTTCCCCTGGCCGCCTGCCATTGCCGGGGCCTCCCTCCTTCCCCTGGCCGGCCCACCCCCTGGTTGAACTCCTGGAAGAACTCCAGTAGAAGGGACAATTTGCATACTATGCTTTTATTATATAGTATTTTGGCAGCAGGGTTGAGTGGCTTATCTTTTTATTACTCCTATAACAATTCATCTAGTATAGAGATTATTTGTTCTCTAATATTTGGCAAATGCACCTATAAAACTATCTGGGCCTGGGGCTTCATTTAAGAAAAGATCTTTAAAAATTGTTTTAATTTCTTGGATGGTTACTGATTTATTCAAATTTTCCACTTTTCTTGCCTCAATTTGGTATTTTCCTACTTTTCCAGATATCTATCCACTTTGTCTAAATTATCAAATACAATACCTTATAACAACTGTCAAAAAATGCATTGCTGTTATTAATTTCCTTTTAGTATTCTGTATTTTTATATGCATCTTTTTGTTGTTGTGAATCCTCACCCAAGGCTATTTGCCCCATTGCTTTTCAGAGAGTGTGGAGGGGGAAATTGAAAGCTGTCAGCAGTCCAACAACAAACAGATTATGACACTTGTTCAGACTTCTCTGCCAGTTCCCACAATTACTTAGGGTTTAACCCACATAATGAGCCCTAGTTCTATTCACTTACTGTGGTTCTTTTCCTCTAATCAATATGGGTGATCATTATTACTTTATCTGGTTTGATGTTACCTTGTCAATTGCATGTATCTTCATATCTTGACCCATTGTTCCTTTTAACAGTAAATAACATCTTCTTTGAAACTTAGGAATTTTTTTTCCTTTCAATTCTACTTTGTATGACATAAAAATTGCCATTCTGGCATTTTTAGAGTCTAACTGTTTAGTATAGGTTTTCCCTTTTTATTCCCATTTTAACCTGCATTTATCCTTTTTGTTTCAACTATATCTCTTGTAGACAAAGGCTAGTGGATCTTTCTTATTTTTTAACCTCAACTGAGAATTTGTCTTTCGATCAATAATTAAATTAAATCCATTGATATTTATAGTAACTATTGTTATAACAAAACTTTTCCTGGCATCTTCACATTTTCTAAGTAGCATACTTCTGTTTTTCTCCCCTTTACTGTATCTCCCTTCCATTAATTAGATCCATTTTATTCTGCCAGATTCAAAATTACTCATTCCATTTTTATTCTGTTTCTTAACCATTTTTTATTATAACCCACAAGTTTTATTTATTTTTCCTAAACTATCCCATGGTCTAAATAAATGATTTATTAATTATGTTAATGACCATTTTACACTTTAGAGTATTAAAATGCAACTTAGCCAGAAATTCAAAGAGATAAAACTAAGAACCAAGATTAAACTATTGAGGGACAAGAAAAGCAAACTGAAATATAAAATGTTGACCTCTTTTAAACTTCTTAATTACAAAAGGCTAAATATTAATATTACAATGAACGTAGTGTGCGAGAAATTGGGCTTTGAATAATTCCAATGTTTTGTTCTATCTACCTCAAAAAATATTTCCCGGTAAAAAAAAAATTGGCATCATTCAAAAAATAAAACTTACAATTCTTTTCTCCCAAAACCTGTATTTCGGGCTAGTTAACAACAACTCTTTAGTAACAGGCGAACAGTATAAGTAAACCTTCAAGCTGAAAGAGAAAGGAAAAAAAGCTACTTCAGTAGGATCCAAAATGAGACATTTTGGTGACTAGATAATACATTTCATCATATATCAGTTCATCTCGAATAATTCAAAATGTGAACTGGCACACGAAGTGTTAAGTGTAGTTCCCAACATGCCAGCACCCCAGTAACTATCTCAGTCCCATCGAGAGTGTAAAGGGATGGGGAAGAAGCAGACAGAAAAAACAGTGTCCTCTGATCTCCTCAAAAGGTTGGCCCTCACCAATTTTATGTTAAAGATGCATTATTGTACATGATCAGGTATGTCTAGAAAGATACCATCAAATGGGGAATGGAAAGGGTGTATGGGGGGGGAACAGAAGACTTCTGTATTTTGCTTCATATAAGTCTATTCTGTTTTGTTTGAGAGTTTTTTTGTTTGTTTTTTAAGTGAGCAGAGGTCAATTTCATGATAAATTTAAAAAATTCAACAGTATAACTTAAAGGTTAGGAATATAATCTGTGGCAGACTGTATTTTCCAAAGATGCCCACACTAATATATATCCCCATCCATACAATCTTCTCACAAAATGGACATGGAAATTCCTCCAATGACAGGAGGTCTCTATATTAATCTCCCCCTGAACCTGGGTAGGACTCTGTAACTGTCTTAAGCAACAGAACATGATGGAAGTAATATTGCAGGACTTTTGAGGATAGATCTCTGGGCGATATGGCTGCCTGCTAACTCTCTCCTGGGACATACACTCTTTTTTTTTTTTTTTTTTAGTTTTCATTTAAGAAATCCAGCTATCCTGCCCTGGCCAGTATGGCTCAGTTGGTGGGAGTGTCACCCTGTGCACTGAAAGGTGGCAGGTTCGATTCCCAGTCAGGGCACATACATAGGCTGAAGGTTCAATCCCCCGTTAGGGTGCATAGGAGAGGCAACCAATGGAGGTTTCTCTCTCACATCAATGTTTTTCTCTCTCTATCTCTTTCCCTTCCTACCCCTCTCTCTGAAAATCAATAAACATGTCTTTGGATGAGCATTAAAAAAAAAAAGGAGGAGGAGAAGGAGGAGGAGAGGAAAGGAGGAGAAAGAGAAGGAGGAGGAGCTGAAGGAGGAGGGGGAAGGGAAGGAGGAGGAAGGGAAGGAGGAGGTGGAAGGGAAGGGGAAGAAGAAGAGGGGTAGGGGGAAGAGGAGGAGAAGGGGGAAGAGGAGGAGGAAGAGAGGGGGAAAGGGAAGGGAGAGGGGGGAGGGGGAGGAGGAGGAGAAGTCCAGCTATCCTGAAACAACATGCTGAAGAGATTTTTTTGGACACAGGCATGCCCAAGAAGCCCCAGGTATTTGAGTCTTCTCAGCCCAGGTGTCACACATGGAAAGAATGAGCCTTCAGGTCAGCCCCAGTCAGGCAGAAACCAGCCATCCTCACTGTGCCCCATGAATTCCTGACCCACAGAAACTGAGAGAATGCATTATTAGTTGGTTTAAGTCACTATGTTTTAGGGTAATTTGTTACGCAGCAACAGGTAACTAATACACAGGCTCTAAAATCAGACAGACCTGGTTGAAATCCTGGTCCTGCCACCTACTGGCTGTGTGACCTTGGGCAACTAATTTAACCTCTCTGGCTCCTCAGTTTCCTCATCTGTAAAATAGAAATAATATCTATAACAATAATAATAATGATAAAAATATCTAAATAGTAGGAATATCTATTCAAAAGGTTATCAAAAGGCTCTAAGGAGGATGTCAGCCCCAAGAAGACAGGGATTTGCATCTGGGTTGCTCACTATTGTGTCCTCAACATCCAGCACAGTGCCCGACTCGTCACAGGCACTCAAAGAAATTGCCGAACTGATAAACATGCAGTGCCTTGAATATATATAAATATTCAATAAATATAACAGTCATTATCAAGAACATAGACTATTGATATCCCTTAGCGGATAGCACTTAGCCTGACATCCACTGGTTGGTTCAAAAGTCAAAAAGTCAATGGGGCCCTTCCCAAATAGGTATCTTGGGAATCTGGAATTTAGATTTAGAGAATGGCTGATGGAAAGAATACAATAGTTCAGCTTTAAGAAAAAATCCAACAATATTATATGATTCCTTACAGTGGGACAACCACTTACACATACACTCTCTTATTAAAACGAACAGATTGCTGCTGCACGCAAAAGCATGGGTGAGTCATACAAAGATGTTAAGTGAAAGAGAAAAGTCTGTTCAGTATGATTCTATTTACTTAAAGTTCAAAAGTCAGAGCTAACCCACGATGACAAAAGTCAAAACTGAGGTGACCTTAGGGAGAGGGGGCTGACTGGGAGGAGGAACGGGGATACTGGTTCTGCTCTATTTCTTGATTTGGATGGAAGCTTCACTTGTAAAAGTTCTTCAGATTGTACCCTTATAATGTATGTACTCTTCAGTATAGGTTTTATGGCTCAATTAAAATGCTTAAAGACAGACACATACACAAATAAGTAGCAAAAAAATTACCTGCACTCCAACCTTCTTTTCAAGGCAGGGGCTCTTAACCCTTTCATGTGATCTAAAAACAAAACAAAACAAAAAATCAAAAAACATAAATACATTATATTTTCAAAGTCTTACTTAGCCCAAGGAAATTCAGTTGTCTGCTCTTTTTTACTTCCTTTTAAGAGAAAAATACATGACAGGTTCACTTTTATCATATAGGCTATTGACTCTTTCTTCTGCAGGTGAAGAATCGGTCTGAACATAGGACAGGAACCACTAAAAGTTGACCATCTCTTCCTCTGAGCCATCAGAAGCCATTTAAAAGGAGAATGGTTCCCTGAAATCTTAGGGCAGAGTCTAAATCACTCTGAACAGCCACAGAAAAAGAGTGACCAGGGTCTCATTCAGAACTGCTTCCAGCAACTTCCTTTACCCCCTTCTTTCATTTCAATCCAATCACCCTCAGTCCTTGCTCTCTGTGACACATTCAATTTATCCCTTAAGTTAGTCCATCTTAAAATTCAAGCTTGCTTCCACAAAATTCTCTAGGAAATCCTCCAGGCTTAGCCCAGAATAAGAAGAGTTGTGTTATCTTCATGCCTACTGTGACTGCTGGGTTGAAAGTGGGATATTTCTATCCACACAGGCTTGTTCCACAGTCTCCCAAATTAACGGGCACAGAAAGATGACATTTAAACACAGGTAACATTTACACCAAATAGCACATTCAATACAGAGTGCATTCTAATACACTCTGACCTTGAGCATGCAAAGGTCTAGATAACAATGACCAAATACTTCTAAATTGTTTAGTTAGATCAAACAAATTCTAATTATCCTAATTACCACCTACACACATGCCTCAGTTCATAGGTGGTGATCCTTGACTCCAGTGAACACAAGGCAGTCACCACACCTCACATGGCAGGCCTTCACTGGACAGGTGCCTCCAAAGGACAGCCCACCTGCCCCCTTGGAGGGTGAATCTTCTCAGATCACTCCTGGCCCAGGTGTTTAGGACCAACGGGTGCACGGAGGGCAGGCATCTCAGTAATTGGGGTTTCCAGAGAGTTTATGTCATGGCAAAAAGGAGGCAGACTCAGAATTCTGCTCCTGCTCTGAAACTAAGTCAGTAGGCAGCACTCTCGAGCTGTTTTAGCAAGACCCCCACCCACTCTCCAGGTCCCTTCCTGACTAGTGGCCAGTAGAGCCTGAGTGAATTTGCTTTGTGCGGTTAGAAGTGCACCCAGAGACTCCTTTCTGGGGCCTTTTCTTCCTTCCTTGACCAGAATAAATCATAAGTTGTCCCCAGAGGGGTTCTCCCCAACACTGGGTGACTAGCCCTGGCTGTCATAACAGAATACAATAAACTGGGGGTTTAAACAGCAGAAATTTATTTGTCAGAGTTCTAGAGGCTGAAGTCCAAGACTGGATTCTAATAAGACCTCTCTTCCTGGCTTGCAGACCTTCTTGCTGTCTGCTCACATGATTCTTCCGTGTGTGTGTGTGTGTGTGTGTGTGTGTGTGTGTGGAGAGAGAGAGAGAGAGAGAGAGAGAGAGAGAGAGATTTCTTCCTCTTCAAATTAAGACCCCACCCTTAGGACCCCATTTCACCTTATTACGTCCTAAATGCCCTATCTCCAAATACAATCATATTGGGGTTAAAGGCTTCAACATGTGAACTGGGGGAGGGGGATCCACAGAACATCTAAAAACATCTCTTTCCCAAAACGGTTAAAAACCACCAGGAGGCAACATAGGAAAACACCAAAAGCAGAAGTTGAGTGCTTGCCCTTGATGAGTTTACACCCCCGGTTGAGTAAACAGACCCACACATAATTCGAGAACAGGGAACATTATAAATTTCTCCAAAAGCAATTTCTGGCTTCAACATACAAACTAATGATGATTTCACAAGTTCTTTTAGATGAATTCTTTCTCCAAACTCATTACTCCTAAACCCGAAGGCAAGCCCCTTTGCCATAATTTAATCACAGCTAACACATTCAGAAACTCCAGTGAGACTTAACACAAAAGGTAAAAACAGGGGCATCTGCATCCAGCAGCAGATTCTCAATAAAAAAAAAAAAAGACCCCAAAAAAGTTATTCTCAAGAATAAGCAAAAAGACCCTTATTAAAGAGGCTCACAGAGCTATTTAGCAAATGGAGAGGAGCTTCTGATTTTCCTCATTAAAGATAGATAATTGGCCCTAACTGGTTTGGCTTGGTGGATAGAGCGTTGGCCTGCGGACTGAAGGGTCCCAGGTTCGATTCCGGTCAAGGGCATGTACTTTGGTTGCGGGCACATCCCCAGTAGGAGGTGTGCAGGAGGCAGCTCCAGAGAGTTTATGTCATGGCAAAAAGGAGGCAGACTCAGAATTCTGCTCCTGCTCTGAAACTAAGTCAGTAGGCAGCACTCTCGAGCTGTTTTAGCAAGACCCCCACCCACTCTCCAGGTCCCTTCCTGACTAGTGGCCAGTAGAGCCTGAGTGAATTTGCTTTGTGCGGTTAGAAGTGCACCCAGAGACTCCTTTCTGGGGCCTTTTCTTCCTTCCTTGACCAGAATAAATCATAAGTTGTCCCCAGAGGGGTTCTCCCCAACACTGGGTGACTAGCCCTGGCTGTCATAACAGAATACAATAAACTGGGGGTTTAAACAGCAGAAATTTATTTGTCAGAGTTCTAGAGGCTGAAGTCCAAGACTGGATTCTAATAAGACCTCTCTTCCTGGCTTGCAGACCTTCTTGCTGTCTGCTCACATGATTCTTCCGTGTGTGTGTGTGTGTGTGTGTGTGTGTAGAGAGAGAGAGAGAGAGAGAGAGAGAGAGAGAGAGAGAGATTTCTTCCTCTTCAAATTAAGACCCCACCCTTAGGACCCCATTTCACCTTATTACGTCCTAAATGCCCTATCTCCAAATACAATCATATTGGGGTTAAAGGCTTCAACATGTGAACTGGGGGAGGGGGATCCACAGAACATCTAAAAACATCTCTTTCCCAAAACGGTTAAAAACCACCAGGAGGCAACATAGGAAAACACCAAAAGCAGAAGTTGAGTGCTTGCCCTTGATGAGTTTACACCCCCGGTTGAGTAAACAGACCCACACATAATTCGAGAACAGGGAACATTATAAATTTCTCCAAAAGCAATTTCTGGCTTCAACATACAAACTAATGATGATTTCACAAGTTCTTTTAGATGAATTCTTTCTCCAAACTCATTACTCCTAAACCCGAAGGCAAGCCCCTTTGCCATAATTTAATCACAGCTAACACATTCAGAAACTCCAGTGAGACTTAACACAAAAGGTAAAAACAGGGGCATCTGCATCCAGCAGCAGATTCTCAATAAAAAAAAAAAAAGACCCCAAAAAAGTTATTCTCAAGAATAAGCAAAAAGACCCTTATTAAAGAGGCTCACAGAGCTATTTAGCAAATGGAGAGGAGCTTCTGATTTTCCTCATTAAAGATAGATAATTGGCCCTAACTGGTTTGGCTTGGTGGATAGAGCGTTGGCCTGCGGACTGAAGGGTCCCAGGTTCGATTCCGGTCAAGGGCATGTACTTTGGTTGCGGGCACATCCCCAGTAGGAGGTGTGCAGGAGGCAGCTGATCGATGTTTCTAACTCTCTATCCCTCTCTCTTCCTCTCTGTAAAAAAATCAATAAAATATATATTTTTAAAAGATAGATAATTGGTGGCTTTGCGCAAGAAAGAAGTGTTTCCCCAAAGCAGTTAACGTCAACAATTTACACCAGATTAAAGTGATTGATTCCACACACAAGACAACAGTCGGTCTTCACACCAACCGGTGAGGAAGGACAATGCCCAGTATCTGTAATTTACTTTAAAATTACCCCGTATGATATGCATGTGTATATGTTTGTTATGCTCTGATTCAATCTTCAGGAGTGGGCGGGATATCCTTCTCAGGCTACTCTGCAAGCCCACACTCCTACCAGCAGCTACCAGAGTGCCCAAGCTCATCTTCACCTCTCATCCAGGCCAAAGGCTGTGCTAATTAGCATAATGAATGTTAAAGCTGTTTTCCTTGATGAAGTTAGTGACTCATTAATCAGCATAATAGATATTAAAGACGGACAACGGCTGTGAAATGAGCGGTATGCCACCTCTGGAGATTGGCTAGCATGTTTTAGAGACCCTCTGCCCTGCCTGGAGCGTCTAGTCTGGAGGCCGTATCATTAGGGGTTGAAGCTTCAGGCTTCATCCCTAACCGCCTCCAGCTGTGAAATCTTAGCATCCTGGTTGCCTGACCTGGCCATCTACAAGGTAAACGAAAATGAACCTTTTCTATTGGATGTGGACAAACCATCTAAGGGAGGGGGTGGTGTTTT